GGCTTCTTTGTTGCTGAAATGTGGCAGAAAATGTAATACTCACAATAACACAATAGATACTACAGTAGTCATAAGAGTTATAAGGTATCTGGGAGAGGTGTCATGCCTTTGTATAGATCTTACAAGATGGACCATATCATCTGACTCTATTGTAATGTACAAAATGACCATTCCTCTCCCACTGACTCTGAGGGAGGAATCATGTCTTCCTATATAATCTACATGATGGATCGGGTCATTTGATTCTACTGTAATGCAAATAGTGGACATTCTTCTTCCACGGTGTTTGAATAATACTTTTCTTTCTTCAGCCACATTTCAAGGCATTGGAGCATATTAGTAAAAACGATTAAATAAGCCTTTTAACATCCTTGGCAAGAAATTCATGTTTTAGTTACAGGGAAATAGAGGAACAGAGATGTTAAAGATTTGGCTCCATCCCAGAACTCATTTTGCAAGTTTAGAATCCAATTATCCTCACTCTCCATCCTGTGTATCACTTTCTGGCCACAATTTCTGAGCCAGCATCTGCACTGTGTGTTGCAGGAGATATGAGGAAATCCTGTCCTTTCTCCAGGCAGGAGCATATGAGTCTACACTGAATCTCACCTCTGACGTGCCACCGTGTTAGGAGGCACAAATTTAGAATTAGAGCTAGACCTGCTCTCCTGGCAGCTCACCAAGCTTTTTCCGTGGGACTTGGCCCAGGATCTTCTGTGTTTCCTATGATTCATAAAGGTCATGAGTCAGATCTGAGAGTGGTAGATCCAGTGGCACTCGCACAAGCACACGGAACTTGTGCACAGAGGGCACATGCTGGAGATGTTAGACTTCCAGCAGAACAACTGCACACCAGCAGTGGCTCCAGTGCCTCTCCAGTCTGAGCGCTGGCACAGGATGAGCTGATCCGTCTGTGCCAGGTGCCTCAGACCTACCGTGTTTGCTGTCTGGTTTTGCTGTCCTTTCCAGACTTCTTTCTATTATTAATTGCTTAAGAACTGTAATCTCTGGAAAAAGCCGTAAGCTATATGCAATCAATTACACTGCAGTTGGCCATGATTTGTCCAGATACAGAAAACTTCATTTCCTAAAATAGAAGCATGTGGCCAGAATCATCCCTACCTTTACTGTGGTCAACACTGATCCATGAAGGAGGAATGTGGTCTAAAGTTTATACCGCTAACTCTACTGTTGGTCTACACTGTTCAGCAGGAAGCCATCAGAGGATCTATTGAAACCAGATGCATGACTGTGTATCCTGTCAGGAAACAGGGATGCTGACTGGGGCACTAGAAGAATGCTTTGTTTAGTAATTACCAAAGCACACCCTTTAAATATATATGGAATACATAACTTAAAAGGCAGTCTTACTGAATAACGGGTTTTATTTTTAATAAAAAATTGAGGTTATCCTAGTAATCTCATTTAAAGAAAAAATATCATTATACATGAAGATACATGAATATGAAATTCAGATATGCTAAATGTCTCCATTTTCTTTTACATGTGGGGTACATGGACACTCAGCATTGCCATAGTAAACTAACATTCGCATTTTAACTTTATGAGTTTCCAGCTAAATTAACTAGAATGATTGTGTAGCATATGGATTCAACTCAGGAGCATCACTCTGAGTAGAGTTTGCTTGTGTATACTATCCTCTCCATCCTTCCTGAACCCTTCTGGGGACAGTTACTCTGTAGAAACCATCAACCTGACCCTTTCCCCTCATTCAGGATCTCAGGAAAGAGATTTGGATAAGAGGGTTCAGTTGAATAATTTGATTTCCTGGGTAAAAGGATTTCAAAATACCAACCCATCTTTACTCGGCTATGTAGAACTAAAGATGTCAATTATTCAAAGAGGTGGTGGTAATGTGAGCAGCAGGGGCACAAAATGGTGTTTTCTAGGATGGATAAGCTGAATAAGGCCTCCTTAGCAAAGCATATAAGGGAAGGAACATGTGTTGGATAAGATAGCTGCTTAATTTGTCACAAGTGAAACAGCGGGGTATAGAGTTCCAGCAGGCAGAGGCCAGCACTCAGAGATAACAGACGTAAGAGCAGTCTGGCAGACTTTGAGCTGTAAGCCAGGATCCAATCCGCAACAATGCACTAGCTGGTGGACCTTAAACCAAGAGGCAACCCACCACTGGACACAGGCTGGTGGACCTCAAGACATCCATAACAGGAGGCAGGTGTGGTGAACTTGAACTGGGGTTAAATGGGGTAGAAACCTTTTTATCCTGTAGGCAGTTCTCTAGATCTCTTGCCTAGTAGGATCCCTAAAAGGATACAGGATTCTGGTTATTGTCCAATTATGAGTTTACGAGTGTGGCTTGTATCCACACAGCAGATGTTTGTATGTGGTGGTATAAAGGTGCAGACTTTCCTTTAATTCTAGCTCATATATCATATCCTTTTTGACCGTACAAGTGACTGACTTCTCACGTTATTTTCAAGCAAAGATATCTTCTGTTGGTGAATGGGCTGTGGGAGATGAAATCTTTCTTCATGGTATACCATAAAGCATAACCTAAGTTTGCTTTTATCTGTATTTACAGAAAAACATTAAAAGAACCTATGACTTTTAATTCTGAAATATAATGATCCTTTCTACACTATAATTAATGATCCTTTCCACACTATAATTACTCCAGTCTTGATCCCATGGCGTAAAGATTGATGACGTTTTGTTACTGCCTTCATTAAAACCTAGTTAAGGTGCTCTGATTTTCAGTGTGTTATAGGAGCTTTTTCTTAGAAGTGCATCTTTATGGAGAACAATGTTACACTTTCTTCCCAGTTGCTACACTGAATCTGGCAAATAATATGAACACAGAAATGAAATATATATTCTTGTGGCATAATGTAGAGCTATATAGAAAGACACAAGTAAACTCTGAATGAGCCACCACAGTACAGGAAGCTACGTCATCCCGTTAGCACCACGCTCCAGTACAGGTAATTAGCCCTGCTGCTGCACTCCATGCAACAGCCTAAGAAAATGTTCCTTATAAAGGTGTTTTGAATGGGTAATTTATTTATAATGGTCTTTCTGGAAAACAAGGGACTTGCAAGAGCTTTTGCAGATTTATGTTCAGGCATTAGCTTCTCTAATTAGTCATCAAACAAATTGTTTTGTGCATGATTTGTTGACCTATGAGAAAACTAACGAGAATTAAAGAAGTACATGATGTTTGGGTTTTTGTGTTTGTTTTTTCTTTTTTTTTAAGTAACTCTCCAGCGGCCAAGCACAAAGCTAGCACAAAGCTAGCTCCAGCATCCAGGAATCTTTATTCACGTTCTCAAATTTGCTTTGCTGGACAAGGAGAAAAGGATGATGTCTGCCTCATTTGTCTTGAGAAATGCGCTGTAGGAAAATGCTCTGCCTAGATACAGGTCTGCAAAATAGCTCTCCCCTCACTGAAATTCGTTGTGCTTGAAGTTTCTGTTTTTATGAAGTCTGTTTTCACTGGTGAAAGCCTTTCCCACAGAGTCTGAAAGGTCAAAATAAACACAACGTAAATCATCAAATTACTGTGTAATTGCATCTTATGAAGCATTGGAACTGTATGCTCCATTCATCCCATACATTTGTTTTACTGAAATGAAAAATTACTTTGACTTCCACTTTTTATTTTAAATGTATTAGTCCTCCTCTTTAGACATTACAGTTATTAATGCTCAGGCTGCTGCCATGGCTCTGAATTCTTATCACTCATTCAGCTGATATTATTACCCAGTCAAAGCTGACATCAGAAATGGTACCTTAATATTAGAGAAAGAAATCATGACTGGAATTATTCATAGATTACACAACATACACTACTTGGAAGACAAAGAATCAGCAGAGCTGTGGGGTTTTTTTTTTAACAAAAATTTATAGCCTGATCCAAAGTCAATACCAAAATTCTCCATGACTTCAGTAAATTTTGACTCTAGCCTTATGTAAGGAAATTTAGGAGGGAGACCAGCAGTTGTGTCCTTAGCCTTCCTTCTCTATTTTGTAATTTAACAGTACTGACAAGAAATCTATAAAAATACAGCAGAGATTTCTGGGTGTGTTCCCTGCAGAATCACACAAGAGATGGAGCAGCTTACGCTACTGAAAAGTAACTAAATGAAAGAATAAGCAGAATCAGAGTATTTATCAACAACTAAGTAAATAATAGCTATATTTAAATTATATTATCCATGAGCTAATATAAAGCTCAGCACTTCCCAAACATAGCTTATATCAAAGCGAGGAGAAAGATGCCTTCACTGTTAATAAATTAAAACAAGTGTTGTAAAGGTGAAAAAGATTGTACTTTCTTACTAGAGACTTTCTGCTGATGCGACCATAAATATTGCTGCTCCTTCCCTCAGCTGGGCTTTTGCTGCTGGCGCGCATCTGACCAACCAAGCTCCCTGCGGCCTCCCTCAGGATAACATTGACTATGGCTGGAAAAATTGAGATGATGCTGAAATCAGGAACAAGAAAATAACATGGAATGCATTACAGCCACAACTGTATATCAACGCACACCGTAAATTTTGTTCTAAGCATATTTACCGAGTTGTAAAATCTTATTATGAGTTTACATGATTTCTCAACCTGTAATCATACCCACACGCAAAGCTATGAGATAGGAAGTCTTCATAGGTATGAAGTGTTAATGATCCTTTGCACCTGTGTATGGAACGGCGTAGGATGACTAGGCATGGATGAGTACAATTGTATATGTTGAAGAAAGCTCCCCCGACTCCCAGCAACACGGTGTTATCAAAGATAAACAGGAGCTCCCAGGATCTTGTCCAAGTATCTCCTTGCTTATCTCCTAAAAACAATAAAAGGCTATTTTGGCAGATACTTGGTAACGGCTATATTAAAAGAACATCATAAAAAAAAAAAAAATGAACATAGTTTGAATACAGAGTGAGACAAGATGACTCCAAACCTTATCCCAGCAAGAAGTTACCACCTATGATGGAAGTGTATTAAGACCAGAAACAGCCATGGATCTATTTGACATTTTTGAATCGTTGTCACGGGTGAAACTGATAGGTTTGTCAGTACTTGCAGGGATTTACATACGTTTGCATCATTAAAGAACTTGAATAACGACTGCACTTGCGACTTGCATGATTAATTCTGTGGGTGACAGTCTAGGTGGCAACAAGTGGCAGCTGTGATCAGCCCCCTTCAGCCATTTAAAGTCTTACGGAAGGTGTGGTTTTACATGGCATCTTCTGTTTTTCATGATGGCACTATTTGGAGAATACAACCAGGACGAATGAGGCTGATGACATCCTAAATCCAGTGTCAGTTTTTTTAGCTTTCAGACTATGGGAGGAAATACCTGAGTGATCTGACGAAGTTTGTTGGAATAGAAGCACTTTGAGGGCTCTAATTTGCTGAATAGCATTAGAATAAACCAGGATATTAAGTGACAAGGATACTGATGAAAGATGCTGACATCACTCCTTTTTGAAGATACTGAGTCCTAATTAAAAATATTCTGTGATCTACCTCTACTTCTATGTGGTTAATGTATTAATTTTATTTAGAAATGTCTTGTCAGCTGTTACTTAATTGCACAATGGATACAAGACTTAACCACCAAATGTTGGTGTATTTTTTTTTATTAATTGAAGCTTACTGCTTAACAAAACAGTGATTGAAATATTTGATACTAATGTAATACCATGCAATATCAGCTTTTCAACTCTCTAATGATGCCTGTGACTTGTTAGGCTGTTCTCACAGCCTATAATTGCTGAAAGTAGCAAGTTAATCATGATGACTGTGAAAACCTGTTTATCAAACATGTAAGAACACTGACATTCTGGTTACTTACTTAATAATTCAATGATAATCACATCACTATTATTATCATGTTAATAAGACTCCTGTGCTTTCAGTTGTGTATTGGAAGTTTGATTACACAGGATCTTTTCAGGCAGCTTCCCTGTGCTTTTTTTTTCTCCTTTTTATTGTTTTTGTGATGGAGATATCTGCTAATAAAATATATGGGCTGTTTGCTATGTGAATGTATAATGCATTCATCTAGTTTAGCTGGAGATAGTAAAGAGAACCAAAAAATGGTAGTAGTGGTAGGACATGTGGGACACCTCTTTTAGAAAAGTTTTTTTTTTTTTTTTAAATAAAAAAAGAGTAATCGTTCATTAATTTTTTGGGGAGAAGAGACTACACATTGCCTAAGCAATGTGTCTGACAATGACACGCCTGTGTAAGCCATTATTAGGAGATTATAAAAACAGTCAAGACAGATAAGCTTGCAGACTTACTTTTTTTTTTTTAATGTGCTTTTTCTTCCTATATGTTGTCACTGATAAACAAAACGTTGGTGAGTCAATCACTTAAAACCACTTGCTGACTACTCGTTTAGGCTTCCTGGCAGGAAGAACTGCAAATGCCAAGGAACAGCTGCAGCCGCACCTGCTAAGCACGCACAGCTGGTTTACAAAGCCGGGGAGTCCGGGGCACAGCCTCCGAGCGGGACAACTGCCAGGGAACGGGCCCGAAAGCCAACAGCCCAATTAATCACCTCAACAGAAAAATGGTACTTATTTCACAGATTCATTCTGTGAAACACTTAATACAAATAAAAAAAAAAATCAATGGAAATGTAACGTAGTGAATATTAACGATACCCAGTCGACCTCTATGTCCAGCCTCTGCTGTGAGATGGAATCGCGAATTTATTATTGTAACATCAGGATAAATATAAAATTAATTTTTCTACCAGGCACTTTCAGTGTATGAAAAAACATAAATTCAATACGATAATAATGGATTTGAGACATTAATCATGTCAGTATCGTTTCCAAGCTTTGCTGTAAGCAACTGTGAAGAATTAAATGTGCTCTTTATAAATTGCATGTAGACTCCATAGGTTATTTCAAAACATCATAAGCAGGTTTAGACATAAACGCTATGTTGTGAACACCTTACATGTGGCTAATTGGAATCTTATTTTTAAAAAAAATTAAGTAAAAATGAAAAATGAGACCCTTAACAATGAATTATAACTACAATCCTAGTGGGGAGATGCACTTTTTTTACCTAGTTATGAATAAATCCATATTTATTAAAAAATGGAAGGAGAGTCATGGGGGGGAAAGAAGGGTGACATAGAATATGCAAAAATAAGAAAAATCTTTTCATATAGCAATGCCACCAAATGTAATAATTTTCTTGGATGAGGTATGAAAAAAAAAGTAAATAAAATTATACATAACAATGAGAGGCTCAGCCCAGCTGTTACTAAAAGACATTCTCCTACTGCCTCTTGATTTTACTCTCTGGTTATTTAGTTACTGCATAGATTGTCACCCTAACCCTCCTTCAAAAATCGTGTTTGATGAGGATATTGCTCCTAACAGAGCACTCGTTCAGATCTGTAGCACTCATGAAGAAGGTTTTCTCAGAATCCGCCCATTTTCTGTAACATCTAAATTTTGCTGTTTTAAGCGTGTAATCCTTTAAGAGACCTCTTTGTCCTGGCAAGGTAAGAAATGGGCCCATCTCCAGATGACCAGCACCTTTATCTGGTGAATAGTACTGTTCCCTTCTTTGAAACGACTGATCCATTTCCCTGAACTGATGTAAATCAAGTCTCAAGTCACCAGTGATGGCAGCTTGCAAACTCCTGTAAGAATTGCTGAGTTCCAGACAAAATCCCATGGAGATTAGCCTCTCACTGTGCAGGATGGATGTCAGTTCTGCAGGCAATTTCTTCTCCTTGGCCTTCTCTTCTCTTTTGTATGTGTGACCAATGCCTTGGTTGAAATTTTGGTTAAACCGCTAAGATTATCAAATATTAAATACACTAAAGGGCCGGTTTCTACATTATACTTGTTTTATGCTTTATAATGCTGTTTGAGATGTAGGCATCCAGATGTGACTGAGAAGTAAACACGTGAACAACAGCTTCTCAACATCTGTCCTAAAGTTGGGCTGATACAAGACTAATGTCTCAACTGAACTTTGACAAGTAGAGAGAAAAGGAATGCTGCAATTGTTTGTGGTTTTATGCACTGCAAAAAAAAGACATGGGGTGTCTTACAGCAATTTTACAGGATGTCAGCAGGAGAGCACAGGCCTTCAAGAGTTTTATTTTATTCTTCCTTCTACAACTTTACCTGCCTAGATGAAGACCCGTGTTGCACTGCAACCTCACCGAAGTAGGAGGTTTGGTCGGCGTTTATATAGCTTATACGATACAAGTGGGTCTTGGTCCAAAACCGGGTGTCTTAGTTGTCACCAGAACAAAAATACCAAAGCAATTAATGACATAGCAGCACATTGTAATTGGAAGAGCCAATGCAGCTCCTTTAGTCCGGTGGATGCCACACCTGAAATAGCAAACTCTAAATGGACTCCATGATTGTTTGTTTTATGCTGGAGTACGGATAAATCATTCTGACATCATCCTGGGAAATAAATTCAATTCACTGGTAGATACAGTGAGTCACATCTTTCATAAAAGCAGGTAAAACCCATTTCTGATAAAGCACTGCAAGGGGTTAAAGAATGAAGGAGAAAACCTTTGCAAATGAAATTTAAAACATTCAGAGAACTGAAAATTCGATAATAATGAAATCTGCATGTTTCCAGTTCAAGTTACTGTATGCCTCAGTAGCACACCTCCTACTTCTGAATACATGGTGGGGAAAAAGAAAAGGTGGTAAAGCTCCACTCAGCACTGGATTTTGATTTTTGGACTGCCTGTTACACAATACAACCACCGAGAATCTTCCCTTCCCGAACAATAAGATGGTAATGTACTGATGGGCTCCTGAAACGAAGGCCTAGATTGTTTTGGTTTTTTTTTTTTTTTTTTCCTTTCAGGATCAATTCTTAAAAAGTTTAACGCAAGCTGGAATAGGTGATGTATTGAGTAAATTCACGAGTATTCCACAGAATTTACTCTTCTCCCGCAGCCGTGGTGAGGGAAGAAGCTGCTCCGCCAGTGCCCGCTCCAGCTGGCGGTGGGGCTCCCACCTTCTTCAGCCCCTCGACACCCCCTCCTCACGGCCCTGCTGCCTGAAACGTACACTTTTAGTAAGTCACGCCATTTCCAGGGCCCGCCGGGCACACGGGCGGGTGAGCCGAAGGGTCTGTCACCCTGTCCCCTGAGAAACGAACCCCCGGTTCAGCGCCGCGGGGCGCTGCGGGGAAGCCCTGTCAATGGAACCGTGCCCCCCG